CTAGTGGGCGACTGGCAGGGATAGTGGGCGAGTGGCAGGGATAGTGGGCGAGTGGCAGGGATAGGGAGCTGCAGGCAGGGCTAGTGGGCGACTGGCAGGGATAGTGGGCGAGTGGCAGGGATAGGGAGCTGCAGGCAGGGCTAGTGGGCGACTGGCAGGGATAGTGGGCGACTGGCAGGGATAGGGAGCTGCAGGCAGGGATAGTGGGCGAGTGGCAGGGATAGGGAGCTGCAGGCAGGGCTAGTGGGCGAGTGGCAGGGATAGGGAGCTGCAGGCAGGGCTAGTGGGCGACTGGCAGGGATAGTGGGCGAGTGGCAGGGATAGGGAGCTGCAGGCAGGGATAGTGGGCGAGTGGCAGGGATAGGGAGCTGCAGGCAGGGCTAGTGGGCGACTGGCAGGGATAGGGAGCTGCAGGCAGGACTGTGCGCAGGAGGATGATGCCACTCCGAACAAGGGAGAGTAGTTTTCCCCCTTCCACCACTCTCTGGTGTTCAGAGTGGCATCAGAGGACATGGACGCTCACTTCGAAATGGCTTTGAGGCGACTTCGAAATTTTCTCCTTCCCCCCGGTTTCCTCTGCCCCTTTTCCCCCTCTCCTCCTTCCCCTCGACGTGAGCGGGTGTTCGGAGTGGCATCGGAGGACATGGATGCTCTCACCTTCGAGATGACTTTGAGGCGACTAAAAAGATTTCCCCCTCTTGCCTTTTTCCCCCCTCTTTGCCCCTTTTCCCCTGCAACAGGTGTTCGGAGTGGCATCAGAGGACATGGATGCTCTCACCTTCAGCGAAATTCCTTTCCCCCCCCACCCAACCCACATGAGCAGGTGTTTGGAGTGGCATCGGAGGACATGGATGCTCTCACCTTCGGAGCCCCCAAGTTCCTCCGCCACCTCATGGAGCCAGCTGCCAGGAAGCTTCCGGTCATGGAGTTTGACGTTGCTAAGGTGAGTCCGGTACCAGTACCACTGTACCACTCGCTGACGTGCTTGCTTCACCATCTAGTCCGGGCTACTCTTAATTTGAGACTTTGTCGTCAAGACTAGTGAATGTCCACCTCAACCAAACCAGGTATTGGGGGGACTTAGTCTTTCAATGGCTGCATCCTGTGCGGCTGTGACCACTGCTGCCACTGCTGCCCCTCCATCCGAGGGCCATCGGCCTCAACACTTCTCCCTCACGCGTCTTACCACCCTGTCCCTCCTCTACCAGGTACTTGAGCTACTGAATCTCTCAATGGACGAGTTCATCGACCTCTGCATCCTGTGCGGCTGTGACTACTGCGAGTCCATCAGGGGCGTGGGACCCACCACAGCGCTCAAGCTCATTCGGCAACACAAGAACATTGAAACCATTCTCGAGAAGATTGGAGACAAGTGAGTGAGTGAGTGTGGGTGATTGAGGGAGTGAGTGAGCCATCAGGGGTGTGGGTCCCACGACGGTGCTCAAGCTCATTCGCCAGCTCAAGAACATCGAGACCATTCTCGAAAAGATCGGAGACACGATTTTTATATGAGTGATTTGAGTACTGGAGACAAGTTTCGGGTGAGTGAGCGAGTGAGGGTGAGTGAGCGAGTGAGTGTGAGTGAGAGTGTTTGCGAGAGAGTGGGAGTGATTTAATGAGTTAGTGCAGTGAGCCTTCTTATACTAGTCACGGTACCTTTATGTCTCTGAAGCTCCTGGGACAGCACGTGGCGTTTGAAGTGTTCAGCAGCACCATCTCATTCCCCAGACACACCAGCCTTTCCCATTTCTCCTCATCTCCTCCCCTCCCCCTCTCTTCCCAGGCCCCTGGCCGTACGATTTTTGAATTAATTATAAATTAGTTTTCATTTCCTCCCCTCCCCCCGCCCCCTGTTATCGTCCAGGTACCAGGTGCCAGACCCGTGGCCATATGTCGAAGCCAGAAAGCTCTTCAAGGAGCCTCTAGTCACACCTTCTGAGGAAGTTCCTGAGATCAAATGGACACCACCGGATGAAGAGGTACGATGCGTTTTGATGGCTGAGATGATAGTTTATCTGATCAATATCTTCGGCGCAGAGATAAGAGTTTGTTGTGCCGACCATGTGACGGCCAAATCATGCAGATGCACTGCGTGCCCCACCTTTGTGCCTGGCACCGTGTGTTGATTGCTGATCGTGGGTCTGTGCATGTGTGTCTGACTGCAGGGGCTTGTGAAATTCCTGGTGGAAGAGAATGGGTTCAACCTGGAAAGAGTTACCAAGGTACGTTTTGTTACGCAACATACGCCTTTGTAATGCTAAGAGAGGGGAGGAGCATGTGGATTGGCCTATGATACCCCTTGGCACAGGAGTCTTCCGCATTTGTGCATCGTCTGCTGTGCTGTGTACTGTTGGTCTGTGCTGTGCTGTGCTGTGCTGTGCTGTGCTGTGCTGTGCTGTGCACTGTCGTGTTCTGTGCTGTGATGAGCTATGTACAGCCGTGCCATGCCACAACATGCCCGCTGCGGTGCTGTGCATCATGCTGCACGGTGCACGTATGACCGCATTGCCTTAAATGTGCTCGACTGTGACTATTGGCAGGCTATTGAGAAAATTAAAGCCGCCAAGAACAAGGCGTCCCAAGGAAGGTGTGTATCGAACGCCTCTTCCATTCTCTGCTTCTTATCTCTCCGTTTTTCTCCTCCTTAGTTTTCCACTTTCTCACTTCTCTCGTCCTCCTCACTGCATGCACTCCTGAGTGCTACCCTTTCCTGTGCCTCTATGGTTTCTCTAGGTTATTTATCTGCTGTCATTGTCACGCTTGCGCCTATCCTTAGCTCAAAATTGCGAAGAACTTTCTGTTCCTGCGATCCTCCCATGTTCCCCAATCCACTCCTTCCCTGGCTCACTGTCTCTTGCATCTCTCATTTGTGTGTATGTACTGCCTACGAGCAGATTGGAGTCATTCTTCAAGCCGTCTGCTGCACCTGCGTCCACAACTCCCAAGCGAAAGGCATGTCATTTGATCATGCCCTTTCTTGCAATCAGCCCCCCATGCACCTCCCCTGTGACCTCGCCTCTCTTGTTTTGTTCCTATCCACTCACCGGTATTTCTCATGTTTCTTTGCGCAGGAACCTCCTCCTGTCAAGGGTGGTAAAGGTGCTGGCAAGGCAGCAGCTGCCAAGAAAGGGAAGAGAAAATGAAGTTTCACAGAGGTACCATATGTTGAAAATGAGGGAAATTAGATCCCTTATGCGTTTAATGAAAGCATTTCCCAACATGTTGTCAAAGTTTAGTGTCCTTCAGGTTGGTAGATTGCACTGATGCACAATTTACCAACTCACGCTTGGGGAAGTTTTCACGCACTGTGAATTTACAGTGTCTACAGTTGTGCTAAGTTTCCACAACATTCTCATTCCTCAAGGTTCAGCATCAGTGCCAGACATCAGCCAGCAAATCTGACACACAAAGACCAGATACGAGGCTGAGCAACAAACCATGACCTGGCACTAGCTCCTGCCACTCCCAGGGCCTTGACTGGCAGAATTCCACTGGGACACTGCAACATGCATCTAGCTGCCACCGGCACTGAATGGCGCTGACATACACATGGTACCAGAATGACTCAGCGCGTCCCAAGAAGCACCATGCTGGGGCAGACATAGGCATGAGACGGGGCCCGGAACTCAGCTGCAGGGAGCTTTATCCCATTCCTGCTTTCATTCCAATTTCACAGCGCTTCCACACCCTCCTCTGCTCCTGAGCCTTGTTCACCACCAAAATGACATCACGGATACACCCGAACCTGCACAGAACAGACCAATGCTGATCCAACATTCACCGAAGCCATGCAGCACCGTCACATGAACCACAACTAGTAAAACCATCTTCCGCTTTCAGCTCCAGGCATCCTCTTCAGAAATAGGCCCTCCCTTCCCATGTTCCACAGGCCCTCCTTTTCCACAATTTCTCCTCTCCTCTTATCTCCTATGCCTTCCCTGTCCTCCACACATCCACCCCACAACTCGGATCCATTCATCAAACCCTGATACAACTCCAGCATTATTTTCCAAATATCCTCCTCACAAGCTTCCTCAGCTTGCAACCGCGTCTGCTGCTCTTCATATTTCCACAACTGCTTCCACGCCATTCCCTCCTCCCTGGTCGAAGCTTCCCAGCAGCTGCCATCAGCTCCCCAGCCTAGATCCCACAATCATCGACTGCAGCTGCTGGATCTTCCCTCAAAATGATGGAAATTGACGCTCATGATGCACTCCTCCAAACTAAAAATCATGCTTCCCACGAAAAAACCCTTCGAGACCTTTGAAATTTCCACAACCATCAGCACCCAGCCAGTCAAACTGCTTGTCAGCGACCTACAGCCGAGTCGGTCTCCTGCTGTCTGCCTGCTGCTGCTGCTGTTACTGCTGCAGATGATGACTTCGCTGTTTATGCTGCCTCTGCTGCTGCTACTGCTAATGCTGCTGCTGCTGCTGCTGCGACACTCTGAACACCTCGCCCTTAAACCGCCGCCGAACGATGTTCGCCAAGAGATATAACCCACTGGTAGTTCCCCCTCCTCCAGCTCCATCAGCCTCCCCCCTGCCTTCGAGACAGTCACCACCAATACTGCTTGAAACGACGCAATACCTCTACTGGCCGCTAAAGCTGGACAGTCGTGGTCAAGACTGAATGTCAGTAGAGAAAGAAAAGACAGTAAAGAAAAAGATCAGGATGCCCTTCTGAACTCGCACACACCAGCCCCAGTCCATGCAGCAGCTGGATCCTCCCCTTAGTCTCCAACGAAAAGAAACGCTGCTCCGGACCCCGTTCCATATATAATCAGTGTCATGAAGCCGCACGCTTCAACCGTCACTTCCACGAGTCCAAGACATCCTCGACGCTGAAGAACTAATGTATTCACATTCGACACGATCGGACAGTACAGCTCCTCATGCAACCCACGGCTACTTAACCACCCCGATACCACAGTCAGTCATTTAAATCGATCCAAACAGCTCCAGCCGCCCCCCCCTTCCCCCCCACTCCTCCTTGGTCTCCTAAGAGCAGTAGATCGTCCTATCGATCTGTGGAGGAATGGGCTTTATTTCCGTTCCAAGCTCTTGCTCGATCCGGTAACTGCAAGACGCGTTCAAAATGTAATGAGATTCCAGAGGTAACACGAGTAGATAACATTGATAAGTCGTACAAGTCGGCAAACGGGGACTTACAGATTGAACCGGTCATTGTATGTGATGAGATTGATCGCCAAGCCAAGATGACCGAATCTTCCAGATCGTCCGACCTGCACAACAGGGAAACAAACAGGCTTAAACAACAGATTCGATACAGAAATGCAAGGATGTAAATGAAGATACTACTACAACACGAACCCTGTGAAGATACGTCTCAGACGTCTTAGGGAAGTCGAAATTGATGACGACGTTCACTGCCTGAATGTCAATTCCTCGCGTGAAAAGATCTGACATTGAAATACGGCACATACTAATTAGTTAGAATCTAAACAGCTTGGAAGTATGAACAAGGCGAAAAATATTAAGGAACGGCAAAGCACAACTTACCCGACGAGACCAGGTTTCTGCAGGCCCCATTGCGGAAATCATGGAAGACGCGATTGCGATGGGACTGCAGCATTTTTGCGTGGATGTAGAAGCACGAATAGCCAAGCTCCGTGATTTTCTTAGCCAAAAGCTCCACGCGGTTGACGGAGTTGCAGAAAATGATCGACTGGTTGATTTGTAGCTGCAATAAATCAATAAATGAATGCATTAAAAAAAGCACAAAGATCAGCCTGAAGCCTTCATCGTTACAGCATTGCCAGATCGGATTGCACCAGATAGACGCACCTTGGAGAACAAGGTGTTAAGGCAATGGACCTTTTGCCGCTCTTCCACAAAGGCGTAGTATTGAGTGATACCCTTGAGGGTCAACTCGTCCATGAGGTTAATGACGTACGGCTTGTTGAGCCATCTGTCTTTGAATGACTTCACTGTCACAGGGAAGGTGGCTGAGTACAAGAGAATCTGTCGCGTTGGAGCGAGATAGCCAATAAGGCGCTCCACAAGAGGCTGAAACTCTGGAGAGAGGAGCTTGTCGGCCTGCCATGACACAAGTTTAAGCAAATCATGAGCCACGGTCACCAAAGAAGGATGAGAAAGTTAAGGGTATGATCGGATCTCAAGTAACAAAACACACCTCATCCATGCACAGCATATTGCATTCTCTAAGGTTGCACACGCCCTTGTTCGCCAAATCTAGTACACGGCCGGGCGTAGCGACAAGGAGATGCACTGGTTGGTAGAGACGCATGATGTCGTCCTTGAGACTCGTGCCACCCGTCGTCGCCATGATCTGAATGCTCATGTGCTTCGCAAGCTCTTTGCAAACTTGAGAAGTCTGCAACGCAAGCTCTCTCGTAGGGACCAGGATGACAACTGCAATAGAGAGAGAGAGAGAGAGAGAGAGAGAGAGAGAGAGAGAGAGAGAGAGAGAGAGAGAGAGAGAGAGAGAGAGAGAGAGAGAGAGAGAGGGAGGGAGAGAGAGAGAGAGAGAGAGAGAGAGAGAGAGAGAGAGAGAGAGAGAGAGAGAGAGAGAGAGAGAGAGAGAGAGAGAGGGAGAAAAAAAAGAGTTAGACTGGAAAAAGTCGTTAACAAACAACAGTTTACAAAAACACTACGACTTGCCTTGAATGACGTTCCTCGACGGGTCAATCTTCTCTAAAGCTGGAATACTGAAGGCAGCAGTCTTGCCAGTTCCATTCTTGGCACGAGCAAGGATGTCTCTTCCCGTCAAGGCAATCGGTATACTCTCCTCCTGAATAGGGGATGGCCTCTCAAACCCTCTCTCATAGATTCCCATCAGAAGCTCCCTTTTCAAGAAGTAGTCCTCGAACTCGTTCCCTTTTGTCGCCGTGACATCCTGAAACGCGAAATGTATAAATAATTAAATCGTCACTATAAGGGTGTAAAACTGCGAGGAAATATGAGATCAATGTCTTTAGAAACTCATGACACACCTCGGTCCTGAACCTTGTATCAGAAGGAGGTAGCTTCAACTGTGACTTCCAATCTTGATCGCTGCAATTTGAAAACGCATCCATAGCGTTAGTAAAAACGTTTGATATCATATTCGAACTAAGCTGCAGTCCGAGAAAAGCCGGCAACCTAAGGACATGCCTTGATTGGCCGGATTGGCTTGGCTGGCTAGGCTGGCTAGCTTGATTCGGAGCGCCAAAGCCTTGAACTTGCGGCGGAGGAAGCAGTGGTTGGCCAGGCGCCTGAACTTGGCCTAAGTGAGATGGCTGCACGAGAGCGCCTTGCTGGATCCGAGACTGGTTTCCGTATGCTGAAGGAGCAGTTATCCGTTGATTTGTTTGACCCGAATGTGGACCCACGGCAGCCATATCGTGCTAGCGAAGACAGAAGACTCGATTTCTATTTTTACTTCCTCGGTGATGCACCCAATATGACCCACCGTGCCCACTCCCAACAACAAGCACTAGATTAAGATCTGTGAACCAACTATGCGAAGCGATGGTAAACCACCTACGGCGAAACAAGCGCGACAGGTTCCTCCTCCCTAAAATACTGCGGGTAAGTATTTTACGTCTAAGTAAGTCGCGCAGAGTCACCTCCGTGTGTCAAGTGAAAACCTAGGAGCTAGATACGGATTGCGAAGCCTAATGGCAGAAATAATGTCCTCCAGCACAACAAATCCTCCCTTACTCCCAAGACACAACCCTTGCTGCTTGTGCTGGTTGAGGGATTCTCAGGGTCTGGCGAAAGGGGGTTGGGTTGGGTTGGGTTGGGTTCGGATGGTGGCGATGATGGTGATGCTCGCTGTGCCTTGAGTCGCAAGCACCCCATCTGACGGTATGGATAAGTGCCACTTGTTACTATAACGATTGCTGGGTTGTTTGTCACCTCATGCTACGCTTAGATAAAAATGACCCCATTCCAAAAAAGTGCAAGAGTTCAGTTACACCTTGTGCATGATATCACACCAGTAGTTTTTTGCGTTCAGGTCACCATAAACAATTTAGCCAAACCCTAGCAGATATAACAGCACCATCAACCACATTGGTAATAAATCAATTTCGGTACAAGAAACATAGTTGCAATGCAAACAGCAATCAGCCAAGGAACTCCCGAGGGTCCGTGATGTGACCAGTGAGCGCTGACGCCGCGGCAGTATACGGCGAAGCCAGATAAATCTGAGCCTCCTTGTGACCCATGCGGCCCGGGAAGTTACGGTTGGTAGTGGATACACACACCTGGCAAAGACCAAAGCAACAAAAACGAGATCAGCAACTCAAATTTCCGCTTATAATGCTTGGACAACACGGCACGTGACTAAGCGAATCATCCCAGCATGAATCCATACCTGGGGCTCGTTCATGCGGGCATACGTATCCCTGGGACCGCCCAGGCATGCAGCACAGGAGGGGGCAGCAGGCGTGTCGCAGCCAGCCTCCTCAAAGATCTGCGCCATGGTCTTGCCGTCCGCCCCCGGCACAGGCAGCGTGTAGATGTCCATCCACACCTGTGGGCCGTGCGGGGGGAGCAAAACATCAAGGGACAATGGGCACACGGCAAGGGGGACAGGGGGCAAGGGCGGTGAGGATTGGTTGTTTCTTAGGCGGGTGGCGGGAAGAATGGAGAGAACAGAGGTGAGAAGTAGAAGCAGGAATAGGACAGAACAGGAAGGATGATGCGATGTGGACAAATCTGATTGCCATGCTGAGGCCCATGGAAATGGTTCTGGTATGCGAGCACTGCTAGTGAAACCCACCTTCTGGGTAGCAGGCACCAGGAAGGTCGGCACCACCACCTTCTTTCCCTGCAACATTAGTGCACACGCACGCACACACACACACACATAGAAACAACACATGCATTCAGTCGGACTGCCAAAAACCCAACACCTTCTTCTGCCAAGTACAGCTAGAGTGGGTCCAGTTTCAGATGCCTGCTTGCGAGCTACTCAAGACAAGATGCCTATGTGCGATGGAAGAGCAACAGCAGGTGCACTGACCGCGGCATGGAAGAGTTTGGACTCGGTCTTGCCTTTTGAGACGTCTCAAATGCCATCCAAATGATGATTCGCAAGTGACTGGCAACAGGCAAATGCACTAACCGCGGTGTGGAAGAGCTTGGCAGCGGCGAGGAAGTCCTCGGTCTTGCCGCCGGTGCACGAGCCGATGTACGAGCGGTCCACCTTCTTGTCGCGGCACTCCAGCGCCGTTGCTCGGTTGTCCGGTGAGTGCGGCTGAGGAGGGTTGATGGGTGGGCGAGGTGGGGGGTTGGCATAGAGGAAGGGGGGATTGTGAGTTGAGTCACGAGCCGATGTAGGAGCAGTCCACCTTCGTGTCACGGCACTCCAGCGCCATCGCTCGGTTGTCCGGTGAGTGCGGCTGAGGAGGGTTGATGGGTGGGCGAGGTGGGGGGTTGGCATAGAGGAAGGGGGGATTGTGAGTTGAGTCACGAGCCGATGTAGGAGCAGTCCACCTTCTTGTCACGGCACTCCAGCGCCATCGCTCGGTTGTCCGGTGAGTGCGGCTGAGGAGGGTTGATGGGTGGGCGAGGTGGGGGGTTGGCATAGAGGAAGGGGGGATTGTGAGTTGAGTCACGAGCCGATGTAGGAGCAGTCCACCTTCTTGTCACGGCACTCCAGCGCCATCGCTCGGTTGTCCGGTGAGTGTGGCTGGTTGATGGTTGGATCAAGAGAGGCGATGTGGGGAAGGGGGACGTTGGGAAATAAGGCACGGGTTGTGGGATGAAAGAGGTACGGCAGTGAGCGTGATGGGAGAGGGGTAGAGGCTACCTCACCATTGCAACAACAGGGTAGATAACATTAGTAAAAACATCCGGGTAACTCACCTTAGCAACAACAGGGTTGAGCTTTGAGACGTCGAACCGATACTCCTCATAGAAGCTGCAGGCAGGGTGGGGAGAAAGGAAAAAAAGCAGGAGGAAGGGTAAGCATGAAGGTGACACTTATTAGGCAGGGGAGGGGTTGGTAAAAGGGTCCCAGAAATATGTGTGGACGCGGATATGAGTAGACAGCAAGAGCAAACAAGCAGAGGGAGTGTGGACGGACAGAAACAGGCGGCTCACCTGGCGTTGCCATCGCTATAGACAGGCTCATGCGTCAACGTGGTCTTGCCCTGCAGGCAGCACGCACAGGGACAGAGACAGGCACACGCACAGGCACACGCACAGGCACAGGCACAGGCACAGGCACAGGCACAGGCACAGGCACAGGCACAGGCAGAGCCACAGACGTCAGGGCAGAGCTAGCCGTAAGCGTTTGGTGCAACATTAGAGCATAGCAGAGCCGAGAAGAGCATGCGAGAGCCTAGAGGGCATGTGGGCAGATGGAGGAGGAGAGTAGAACAGGGGCAGGAGCATACATCGAGGTAGGCAAAGGTGGTCTTGTCTGCTGCTACCACTCCGTTCTTGCCACCGCCCTCAATGACCATGTTGCACAGCGTCATGCGATCCTCCATCTGACGGGGGAAACACGCAGCAGGCAGAAACGGAGAGATAAGGGGAATCAGGGTAAGAATGGGGCTGTGTATGTGAGCATGAGAAGGGATTGTAGGACCAGGGAAGTGGTACCAAGGGAGCGAATTAATAAATTACTGACCACTAAAATTGTCGAGCGGAAAAGACAAATCGGATAGCAGAGAGAGAGAGAGAGGTCCCGCGAGGATGAGAATTGGTAAACGGAAAAGAGGGTTGGCAAAATGGCGCAGAAGGGAAGCTAATGGGGGCAAGAGGTTGGCGAGGGGGGAACGAGGGTAGTGCGGGGGTGAGAGAAGGTGGTGGCAGGGGCGAGGAGGCACTGACCGTCATGGCTTCAACGGCAGTGCCTGTGAACTCCATGGCCCGGTACGTGCCCCCTGCCACTCCGATCTCACCAATGATCTGCCTGTGATCTCCATGGCTCTCAATAAATGTCTAAATCATAGGGAGGATCACGGAGAGCACTCACCGTCATGGCCTCAACGGCAGTGCCTGTGAACTCCATGGCCCGGTACGTTCCCCCTGCCACTCCGATCTCACCGATGATCTGATGCATGACAGTGGGAGGTGGGGCAGGAGAGGGAGCGGGAGAGGGAGAGGGAGAGGGAGAGGGAGAGAGAAGGCGAGGGCGACAGGGGGAGAGAGAGAAGGGGAAAGGGGGAGGGGGTTGAAAGGGGACAGTGCAGATCGACAACATATGACACGTGGCAAGAGCAGTGCAGCAAAGGTGGCATGGTGGCGGCCAGGCTGCAGCTAGCTAAATGGCATGCAACAATGTAGACATGTGCACGGCATGAGGACGCGAGGGCGAGAATGGTGGGTCGAGTTGGAAAAGAGGGGCAAGAAAAAGCATACCGCAAAGAGAGAGCTGGGAAAAGAAGGATGCAAAAAGAAGAGAGAAACGGGAGGAGACGAGGAAGCAGGCGAGCAAGGGAGGTGGATGGTGCACCTGCAGGATGAGGTCCTTGGCGAGCAGGTACGGCGGCATCTCCCCGTCCAGCACAAACCGGAGCGTGGCCGGCACCTGATGGGGTGGAGACATCCGGGGGAGGAGGGACGCAGAGAGACGAAGGGAAACGATTAGGAAAGGCGTGGGCGATAAGCGACAGGCATACGGAAGAATGGAGGGCGAAGGGAGGGGCAGGATGAGCAAGCATGAGAGGCGACGCACGTTAAGGCCACACGCACCTTGAGCAGGCATTTGCCGGTGCCGAGAATAAAGCCCGCGTCCGTGTTGCCAATGCCCGTCGCAAACTGCCCAAACGCACCCGCGTTGCACGTGTGCGAGTCCGTGCCAAAAAGCACCTGCTCGCAACAAAACGGAAGGGGGAGGGAAGAGGCAATGGGGGGAAAGCGAGAGAGCATAGCATAGGACAGCAGGGGTGTGGGGCAACACGGGGAACAGTGGTGAACACGACACAGCGGATACCCAAGGTAATGCCAACAGAAGCAATGGGAGCATCACTCCCTGACTGGCAAAGCCGATGCTACCCCCTGGACCATCTAAGCTGATGTTCCTTCCCTTTCCCTTCCACTGCCTCTCCCCTTCCCATACACCCTCCCCTCCCCCAACCCCCCTCAACCCCTGGTCCTTCTGTCCCCCTGCTCCACCCTCCCCCTCTCTCCTCCACCGCTTCTCCCTACATCTCCGCACCTCGCCTGGTCGGCAGTGCCCCTCCTGCGCGAGCGCCACGTGGCACACGCCCTTGTAGTCCGGGTTGGCCTGCGCGCAGCCAGGACGACAGACACAACCGCACAGGGAGGATGAGGGCACAAGCAAGCAACAATAGATAGATCGCAGGAGCGTTTGCTTGAATGAAGTGTGGGTTGCATCAGTCGCTGGATCACATTGGGAAAAGGAAAAGGGACGGCGGAGATGGTAGAGAGACGGAAAGGGATAAAAGTACTTGATGCCCTGCTCCTCCACCTTGCACCACAGCTACCGCACCCACTCACCTGGAAGTTGGAGCGGTTGGTGATGTCATAGAAGTACTTGATGCCCTGCTCCTGCACGACGGCTAGAGTACCTGCTTCAGCGCACGGGACCGTCTCTACCTTTGGCTTGTATGGAAAAGCGCACCTGGAAGTTGGAGCGGTCGGTGATGTCATAGAAGTACTTAATGCCCTGCTCCTGCACGAAGTCCCTCAGGATATCCACGTTGCGGTTCGCGCGCTCGTCCGCCGTGAAGATGTAGTGATCGGGGATGATCACGATCTTCTCGCGGTCCCACACCTGCGCGGGGGAAGATGTCGGAAGGGGGAGCGGCGGAAAGGCGGGAAAGGGAAGGGCGGTTGAGAAGAGGGGCGCTTGCGTTCCGTGCTGCGGTTGGCGCGTTCGCCCGATTGAAACGACGAGGGAACGGTAGGCGGGGAAGAGTGAAGAGGGGACGGGAAAAAGGGGGGAAGGGGTGGGGGAGGGGGGGAAGAGGGAGCGGGGGGATTGTAACTGATTTTGCGGCCTCACCTTGGCGTCGGCGCCAAACTCCTTCTTGAAGATACCGATGGTGCCGGGGGAGGGGGGGAAGAGAGAGAGGATGGGGAGGAGGGAGCGGGGCTGTTGTAACTGAATACCCCAGCCGTACCTTAGCGTCGGCGCCGAACTCCTTCTTGAAGATGCCGATGGTGCCGGGGCCGCACACGTCGTGCGTCATGAGCACGTCCGTGTTCACCCACACGTTCTCGCCCGGCGCCACACGCGCCCGCTCCGCCGCGCGCGCCAGGATCTTCTCCGTCATCGTCATGGGGGACTTCACCTGCCGGCGGGGAGAGGGGGCAAGGGAGGAAGGGGCCAAGCGGGCAAGGGGGGAAGCGGATGCGCAAACGGGTGAGGCACGGAAATGTGCGAGACGGGGGGTTGAAGGTTTCTGGCACGCGCACCGGTATCTTCTCCCTAAGGGATACAGGAGAGAGGAAAGCAGCAGGGGCCTCGCCGTTAAACGGACGCTCAAGCTAAACAATACTCCGCCGTGCATCCGTAGCCTCCGTCGGGGAAAGTGGGGAGGTATGGACGCATCACAATGCTATGATCACATCAGATCGACGCTTTCGATCCTTTGAGAATCAGTGCGACTGGCTTGGGAGAAGACGAAACGATAACCAGGTTGTCGGTGGTGCACAGACATTCGATCCCAAATGGAGAATAACGATCAGGAAGGGAGCTCGGAGGTCAGTGGTGAACGTTCAGCTTACCGCGCCGGTAGAAGCGGGAGTGCTCTGCTTGCTGGGAGCAGGAGGCACTGCGACGGCACGGATCGCAACGGGCATTCGGCTGGCGACGGCTGGCGACGCCGCGGGAAGGAGCCGCGACGACGACACGCCTCCTGCGAAAGTCGTTGAGGAGCCATGGTGCACCGCCGCGCCCTGACGGAGACGGAGCGAGACGAAGAAAGAATTAAGGTCGTGAATAGAACGGCGAAAATGCTAACAGGGTCAACAGGCAAAGAAGCTGCGCTGCGCGTGATGCAAAAGGTGCGACCTTCAGTGACTTCACCATGGATACATAGGCATGAAGAATTCGTCGAGAACATTGTTCGGGAAACAGAAAACACTTGAAACGAAATGAATCAGTTCAATCAATAGAGCTCATGAAAAGTACAAGACAGTACAGGAATCAGTGGCTAGTCTTACAGGAGCACGGAGGGCTGTCGCGGGCACTAAAGCAGCCATGATGACCAGTCCACGCTAACGATCTACGACAATCGCGGACCACAGAGAGACAAACACTTCGCGGAGAGACGAAGCTGCCGGCAAGGTAAGGTGGACAAAGAATGCAGCTGCCTTGTCTTGTAGACTCCACCACAGCCTAAGTTTCAGGAAAGGTTCCTTAAGAGGCGGAATCTAAAAAGGCAAGACAAAAATGAAAAAGAGTTGAAGGTCCGAGGGACTGATATATTCAATGGTGATCTCTCAAACAAAGCACGGTGGAGAGAGTTTAGCATGTTCTGAAAACGGCGAATTTCGGTGAAGGGAGAACCCAACAGCCACAGCCTAATGTGGCTGTCCAATCCGAGCCAAGCCACCCTCCTGCGCACACCCGAAAAAGCTCACGCCAACAGATCTCGAGGGCCTTGGGACTGTCGCAAACGCACGCAACCTTCGCGAAAATGAGATGAAGTGCTGCGCCCCACCTCGTCCAACAACGTGACTGTCGCGAGTCTGGGTTTTGCGACTTTTTCGTGACAGGGTTTCGCGGAGGGCTGGGAGAGGTGGCGGGTAGTTATTGGTGGAAAAAACGAGCAGCCCGGTTGGAAGAAGTGGATCTGTCTGCGAAAGTTGCGAAAGGGGGGATGGACACCCGAGTCCCAGGATATTTTTTGCAGGTTGCGAAGTTACGAGGTTCTGCCCAATGCTGCAGCTTCGCGACAAATCTACAGTTGTGAACCAACGAAGCATTTACACTTCGCTAGAATTTAGCACCAACGAACAAGCACACACGGGCAAGAGGGAATAAGACATCCTTACAACTTAGTCATACTCCTTAGACCAATAGATGGCCTAGGACAACAACCATGGCGAAGAAAATGTCAAGCATTTTGAAGAAAGCCGGTTCGAACGGGAAAGCGGCGAAGGGAATAGAAGAACCAAGTGCAGTGAAATTACTCTCTAGTCAGGAGGAAGAGGATTTTAAAGATGAGAAAGAGTCAACAGACACTGAGGAGGGAGGAAAAGTTTCCGGCGACGAGAGCGAAAGCGGAGAGGTGGAAATTGAGGAGGAAGGGGAGGGCAAGGGAGATACAGGGGAAGAAGAAGGGGAGGTGGGAGAGGATGAGGAGGATGGAGAAGACAGTGACGAGGAGGAAGCAGACGAGAGAGAAGAAAGCCAAGGGTTTAGTATACTAGGTCCTGAAAAGCCGTCTAAGAATGTCCCCGCTGTTTCAAATCTGGGGATTCAACCTAGTTCAGCGTCAGCGTTAAACCCGGTCAGAAGCTTCGACGAAATGGGGCTGGACCCGCGTCTGCTGCGCGGGCTGGTGAAGCGGCGTCTGCTGAAGCCCACTCCCGTGCAGCAGTACTGCGTGCCGCTCGCCATGGTGCGTGCCTCTGCTCATTGACCATTGTAGTAGCCACTTATGGAAACAAAAAACGTGGAAAATAAAGTCAAATGTCAAGAGGCCAGGAATGCATTCAGTTAGTGGTGCGGTTATTAGCCCGTTAGGGCGCTTCGGAAAAATGGCAGGGAAACTATTAGCAGCTGTATCTCGCAAAGACCCTGAACCTCCCCAAACCCCCTCTTGGCCATAGGTCCTCCGTTTACCTCCTCACCCTCATGATCGACTGTCCTCCCTCCATCTCCTCACTCTGCCCACAGGAGGGGCGCGACGTGGTGGCGATGGCGCACACGGGGTCGGGCAAGACCCTCGCGTACCTGCTGCCGCTGCTGCACCGCGTGCTCGCCGACAAGGACTCCGCGCCCGCCGCCACTGGCGCAGGGGGGAACTGCCCGCGCGCAGTGGTGCTGGTGCCCACGCGGGAGCTCTGCCAACAGGTGAGGCGGGGCGGGATGGTTGGGGGAATACAGACAGAGGGAGAAGGAGGGCGAGAGATTGATGGGAAAGGGGTGAGGGGGGAGGGAGGGGGAGATGCAGATTCGGGCCGGGGAGGATGCATGCCTTGAGGCTCCTCAAAACGGATCTGTTCTTACCATTCGACCCAACGCTGTGTTCCCGCATGATCCAGGTGGCAGAAGAGGTGACAGCCATGGGGCAGTACTGTGGGGGCGCGATTACCGTGCAGCGCCTCACCACCGGCATGAACAACAGCGCCATGGTGAGTCGAGGTTGACGTTGGGAACTCCAAGAAGTATAGTCCAGTCCAGTCCACCCGGTTGGTTTCATATATCTTGCCTGTCTTGCTATTTCAATTTCTCCATTCCCCATGCCATGCCCACGTGTCCTACTCCGTGACCCATACGATTCCCCCCGAATTCATTGTCCCCCGTGCAGCGAGCGGCCATGGAGAGGCGGCCAGACGTGGTGGTGGCGACGCCAGCGCGCATGGCGGCGTGTGTGGCGGAGGGGGTGCTGGCGCCCTCGGCGTTGAAAACTCACCTGGCTGTCATGGTGCTGGACGAGGTGAGGGAGTAAGGGGGTGGGGAGCAGTGTGCTGTTGTGGCAGGGTACAGATGGCGTGGGTGGCATGTGTGGTGGAGGGCGTGCTGGCACCCTCGGCGCTCAAGACACACCTGGCTGTCATGGTGCTGGACGAGGTGAGGAGAGGAGGGGAGGAGGGGTGGGAATGCACTGGGTGATTGCTGCGTGCTGTCATGTATGCTGCCATTTGTGCCCCCATGGCATGTCCGGCCCTTGACAGTTGCCACGCCTGAGCACCCTACCTCTTGGCTCAACACTTCCACACGCCGTCCCTCTCTCCCGTTGCATGTGTGCCATGCCAACAGGCGGATGTGCTGCTATCACACGGCTACTACAGCGAGGTGCAGGCCATAGCGCGCCACGTGCCTGTCAGCTGCCAGTGCCTGCTCCTCACCGCCACCTTCAGGTCAGCTCCCTTCCCATTCCCCTCACCTCTCCACTCTTCCTTCTACGCTTCAAGTCAGCTCCGTCTTCCCCCCTCATTTTCTTATGCCCGCCTGTCTGTTGGGTGTTCCAATTCTTCTTCTCCCCCCCACCCCGTCGTCTCCCATTCACCAGTGACGACATAGAGCGCCTACAGAAGCTGGTTCTGCACCATCCAGTGGTTGTGCGCCTAGGGGACAGCTCAGACCTCCTTGAGGATGCCCAAGGGGGTGTGGGTTTGGGAGTGGGGGGACAGGCAGCAGCAGAGGCAGCTGCAGCAGGAGAGGTAGCAGACGCAGGTGCAGGAGCTCAGAGTAACCAGAACCAGTCTCTCCTGCCGCCCAATATCCGCCAGTTTGCCGTCCGCTGCGAGGAAAAGGACAAGCTACTCCACCTGCTCGCGCTGATTCGCCTGCAGCTGCTGCAGAAAAAGGTTCTCATTTTCACCTCCACTGTCGAAGCTGGTTTCCGGGTGAAACTTTTCCTTGAGCAGTTTGGCATCCGGGCAGCCGTGCTAAATTCCGAGCTGCCCGTCGCGTCGCGGCTGCACATTCTTCACGATTTCAACGCCGGAAAGTTCTTTTTCCTCATTGCCACAGACGACGATAATGGGGGGCTCTCTGCAAAAGACCGGGGGAAGGGGGGGAACAATAATGGGAGGGGGGATTCTGGTCGAGACTCTAAGCGGCGTAGAGTAAGGATAGCAGATGAGGCACATGGAGGGGAGGTAGGGAGGGAGGGGGAAGAGGAGGTGGAGAGGGATACGGGGGAGTATGGGGTGGTGAGGGGAATTGATTTCAAGAACGTGAGGACGGTGATCAACTACAGTGTGCCGAGCCAGCTTGCTCCGTACGTGCATCGGGTGGGGAGGACCGGCCGAGCCAGCAGCGTTGGCATGGCAATAACCCTGGTATGGCACTGCTTCCATCTCTCCTGTGCCACAGCTTTCAGTCCCTCGATTTCAGAGTCACTGACATGTTGCACTCTCAATCCCTTTCCACACGCTCGCTGATTTTACTCCTTGCCCAATCGGTGCGTGCCAGGTGTCTCCGAAAGAAGCTCCGCTATTAGAGGCGATTGACAGGAAGATTGCACTGTCCATGGCAAGTGCGGGTAGCGAGGACGGCAAGAAGGGAGTGACAGGGGTGAAGGGGGAGAGTGGGATTGGAGGCAATAGGAAGCGCGCAAGGGAAGCGGAGGATGAGGAGGGGGAGGACAGTGAAGAGGAGGGTGAGGTGGAGGAGGATGAGGAGGAGGAAAAGGAGAAGGAAGAAGATGAGGACGAAGAGGAGTCAGAGGAATTAGATGAATCAGAGCAAGAGGAGGAGGAGGAGTCAGAGGAAGAGTTTGAAGAGGAGCCAGCAAAGCCGAAGCCGTACGAGTGCAGAGCGATCGTGCCGTACCCGTATCTGCCGAAAGAAGGTGTGGAGGCACTGAGATACCGCGGGGAGGACGTGGCAGGGAAGATCACCCGCGTGGCCATCCGCGAGGCAAGAGCCAAGGAGCTGCGATGGGAGATTCTCAACTCGGAGAAACTGAAAGACCACTTCGACCTCAACCCTAAAGACAGAGGTGCGTTCCCTTGTGCCTCATTCTCCCTCCTGCACCCACTCCCCTGCATCTTTCTGTGTCACACGCGCGTGGCCATCCGCGAGGCCCGCGCCAAGGAGCTGCGGTGGGAGATTCTCAACTCGGAGAAACTGAAAGACCACTTCGACCTCAACCCTAAGGACCAAGGTGGGTGCTCTTCTCTGCCTTTCCCTTGCTTCTGCCCCTTTCTCCCTTGCTGCTTCCTTTGTCATTCCTGCGTGGCCATCCGAGAGGCACGGGCCCTTCCCTGCTGCTCCCTTCCTCATCCACCTCTCCGTCTCCCTTCCTCATCCGCTCCCCCTACCTTTATCCCCTCGCCAGCTTGTCTGAAACACCACGAAGAGTGTTCTCCTCATCCTCGTCTCAACCCCACAAACCCCCCCCCCACCCCCCATCTCTCCCTCCCCACTACAAGGTCTTTGGTCCTACCATGCCCCATCCACTCACCTTCTTTCACCCCATTGTTTGCTCTTTTATCCCCCACCAGACCTCCTGAAGCACGACAAGGTGTTGGCCAAGGTGGCTCCCTCCCCGCACCTCAAGGTCCTCCCAACGTACCTTCGTGCCGAAGCTGTCACGGAGGCTCGGCGCAAGTTCCTAACCGAGCTGCCCCCTGCAGAGCAGGACAGCCGGGATGGGGGCAAAGGGGGGAGAGGAGGGAGAGGAGGAGGGGGGTTCAACAGAGGGCAAAGGGGGAGGGGTGGGGGCCGAGGGCGGGGAGGAGGGGGGAGAGGACGAGGGGGGCGGGGAGGCAGGGGTAGATCGAATGATCCATTGAAAACGTTCAGTGCTAAGTAGCATGCCATTGGTGTACCCAATAGTTGGGAGTACTGTACTCTATTCTAGCAGCCTCAACAAGCATGCATGTACACACTTGGTGTCCGCATGAGTTGGGTGTGCATGCGCGTTGTTAGGCACCTCGAAAGCTGCCGAGTACCTTGGATGCATTCGGTGGCGGCACTAACTGTACCAACCAAAAGGCACCAAAAGCCATTCCTACGGTACTGCATTCTGATGTTGCAGCGCCCCTTCAAGGAGGTGTTTGCTTCTCATAAAGCATGCAAACTAACGCAACATCTCTACTATGTAAAAGCATGCCTTAACCTGCAGCCTTGACCTCGATATAGCCTGTAGCTATGCTTATGGTCTCAACACAAGCACATCTACAATTATCCAGTGCATGTTGTCAAGAAGGATTGGTTGCATTGAGCAGGAAGATGGGTACAAGTATGAAACCCTAAAGGGTTGTACTCACTAGAGTATGCCCCACTACAGCGTAGAGACATACAAACATAATTTGAAACATGTGCTGGTCCGTCGATGATTGTCAACAAAAACCAGTAACCTACATGAATAGTCCATATGTATAAGTTCTAGGCTGAATTTCCAATTACTAGAGAGTCATTTAACCGGTATATTGTCCATTATGAAGTCCTCCGGAAAGTACCACGGGTGTGAACCAAGGAGGACGCACTTACTCTTTACCACAAAGTTCTAATCGTACTATATAAGGTCGATGGTTTTAGCGAGGATCGTCAAGCAAGGATCGTCGTAGCAAGGATCGTCGTAGAAAGGATGCACACCGCTGAAACATCATGGTCGTACCCTTGGATCAGCACTTGCCATAAAGAAGAGCAGTACGGTAGTACTAAAGGACCATGTCGCGTCGCGAGAAACATGTGCTAGCCCAGTGCACCAGGCCACCACTTGGATGGTGGCTCCAATGCACAGCCCAGTGCTAGCCCATTGCTAGCCCATTGCTAGCCCAGTGCACCAGCCCTGTAGTTGGCCTGCCCTGATGCAAAAGCGCTGTCACTATTTCGCCTTGATGTTCAAGCCCTGGGCAAATTGATTCCCTGAAATTAGCGTGCTCACATGCACAAACCTGTGGTTAGTGTGCCCTAGTGCCATGTGACCTGGTGCACAAGCGCTGTGGTAAGCCCTGTGGTCAGCCCTACGGTCAGCCCTGTGTTCATCCCTGTGGTTAGCCCTGTGGTTAGCCCTGTGTTCATCCCTGTGGTTAGCCCTGTGGTTAGCCTTGTGTTCATCCCGGTGGTTAGCCCGGTGGTTAGCCCTGTGGTTAGCCCTGTGGTTAGCCCTGTGTTCATCCCTCTGATTAGCCCTGTGGTTAGCCCTGTGGTTAGCCCTGTGGTTAGCCCTGTGGTTAGCCCTGTGTTCATCCCTGTGATTAGCCCTGTGGTTAGCCCGGTGGTTAGCCCGGTGGCTAGCCCTGTGGTTAGCCCTGTGGTTAGCCCTGTGGTTAGCCCTGTGGTTAGCCCTGTGGTTAGCCCTGTGGTTAGCCCTGTGGTTAGCCCTGTGGTTAGCCCTGTGGTTAGCCCTGTGGTTAGGGCCTACGCAGGGGGTTGCTGAGGTGGGTGGGTCCCAAGGGGAGGCGGGTCGCACAAGGAGGTGGGTTGCAAGGAGGGGAACACGGAGGGGCAATCCAGGGGGGAGGGGGGTGGAGGGGGCGGGGAGTGGGGACTGGGGAAGAGGGGTGTGGGGGGGGGTCCTATGCATGGGGAGGGGAGGGAGCGGGACAGGGGGGAAACATTAAGGGGGGAGAGAGGGGGGGGGGGGGGTTGGATTTTTGGGGTTTGAGGGGGAGAGGGGGATACCATACCTGAGAGTGTTATATCAGCAGTGGTGGCCCGAGTGGCCACGTCAGCAAGACGAAGCTGACCACGCTACTGCAACTCTCGAGCAAGGAAGTAACGCACAGCGATGCACTTCGTTCTGTGCTCCAGTCTGTGCTCCTGACACAAGGCAATCATGGCCTTGTTGTCTACGTACATAACTGGAGGAAAACGAGGCCGCTCTCCCAAGTCAGTCAGCAGGTAGGTGAGCCAGCGTAACTCCTGTGCAGCCATGGCCCTTGCGTAGATCTCAGCCTCACAACTGGAACTGAGAACAGAAGACGAGCGGGTAAACCGCCAAGAAACAGAGCCGGAGCCAAGCCTGAATGTGTAACCCTGTGACGACCGCTGCGTACCCAAGTCGTCAACCCAAGAAGCGTCGGCGTGTCCAGTGAGGACAACTGGACCCCGTCCTCCAAGCACGAGCCCCATGCCCGAAGTACTGCACAAGTAGCGCAACACCCTCTTAGCGGCCTCCCAATGTTCTGGTCGGTGTCTCCCAGGCGCAACGTAGCGTGCCAGGATGCTAAGAGGGTAGGCAAGGTCAGGTCGAGGGCAGGTCATCAGGTACATGAGGCAGCCCACAAGCTCTGGATACGGGCCACTCGGCTCTACGGACTCGTCCGAAGGTGGAGCTAAGAGCGAGTGACAGGTAGGCAGAGGAGTGGACTGTGGCGAGGAGTACCGGAAGCCGAAGCGTTGAAGGACCTGGTGCACCATGTGTGACTGAGTCAGGGTGATGGTGCGCCGTGTCTTGTCCTGGGTGATCTGCAAGCCAAGATAGCTGCGCAGCTCATCCAGGTCAGTGCAGGTGTGTCTCTTCTGCAGCTCTGACTTCATAAGGGCCAGTGCCTTGTCAAAATAACGAACAAGAATGGATGAACTATGAAACAGTTGGGTACAAGTACTAACCCTAATTGGGTTGTACCCCTTATGGGCTACCCCAGCCTACACAAAGTAAGCACTATAACATTCTGACACACCCCCATAGGCAAAGTGGGAGAGAACAAGTGGTCACAAGACCAGTCAAGAAAAGCAAAGCAAGCTCAGGGTGGATCACAAAGGCACCACACAGTCCGAGCACAAGCAAAGGGCCACAAGGCCAATTCACATGCAGAGTTATATAAAAGAGCACAAACAATACAGTGATCATACCCTAGCAAGTGTAAGCATGCAGGTATATATATAGATCACAGTACAAGCAAAGTCACGTAGTGAGCAAGTGAGGCAAAGTAGGCACAAGGCCTAAAACAGTAGAGAAGCGCTGATGATCACCAGGCGGAAGTGCCTTGGTGAATATATCAGCAGTGTTTGCCCTAGTGGCCACGTACGCAAGACGAAGCTGGCCACGCTGCTGCAACTCTCGAGCAAGGAAGTATCGCAGAGCGATGTGCTTCGTTTTCTGCTCCAGTCTGTGCTCCAGCGTAGCTCCTGTGCAGCCATGGCCCCTGCGTAGATCTCAGCCTCACAACTGGAGCTGAGAACCGAAGACGAGCGGGTAGACCGCCCGGAAACAGAGCCGGAACCGAGGCTGAAGGTGTAACCCTGTGACGACCGCTGCGTAGCTGAGTCGTCAACCCAAGAAGCGTCTGCGTGACCAGTGAGGACAACTGGACCCCGTCCTCCAAGCACAAGCCCCATGCCCGACGTACTGCACAAGTAATGCAGTACCCTCTTCGTAGCATCCCAGTGCACCTTTCGGTGCCTCTCGGGAGCCACGTAGCGAGCCAGGAGGCTGAGAGGGTACGCGAGGTCAGGTCGTGTGCACGTCATCAGGTACATAAGGCAACCCACAAGCTCTGGGTACGGACCACTCGGCTCTACGGACTCGTCCAAAGGTGGAGCTAAGAGCGAGTGACCGGTAGATAGAGGAGTGGGATGTGGCGAGGAGAATTGGAAGGCGAAGCGCTGAAGGACCTGGTGCACCATGTGTGACAAAGTCAGTGTGATGGTGCACCGTGCTCTGTCCCGGGTGATCTGCAAGCCAAGATAGCTGTGCAGTTCACCCAGGTCAGTGCAGGTGTGTCTCTTCTGCAGCTCCGACTTCACAAGGGTCAGTGCCTCAGTGTCAGCAGTGCCAAAGACGAGGTCGTCGACGTACACGAGGACGTAGAACGGCGGCAGCGACATGTCGGTGTGTAGAAACAACGACGGGTCAGCAGTAGAAGGAGTAAACCCCAGAGCCGCAAGTGTAGTCCTCAGTGTGTCGTGCCATTTGCGAGGCACCTGACGGAGACCGTAGACTGGTCGCCGGAGGCTCCAATTGGTACCTGCAGGAAACGACCCAGTGAAGACAGGTGGGCGGCGCAGCCAGATCTCTTCGTGCAGGCTGCCCTGCAAGAAAGCTGTGCTGAAGTCCAGAGAGTGCAACTCATAGTTACGCTGAGCAGCGACGTGCAGCAACACCCGAAGAGTAGTCATCTTCGGGGTGGGGGAGAAGGTCTTGAAGTAGTCGACCCCCTGTCGCTGACTGAAGCCTCGTGCAACGTAACGCGCCTTGAAGGCAGGCGGAGAACCCGGCGGCCGCTTCACCATGAAAATCCGTATGCCATCGACTATGTTCGCCCGAGATAGGGGAAGTGCGTCGACGTAGGTGCCTGTGGACTTCCAGGATGCCATCTCGGCATCCATGGCTGCCTGGCACTGAGAGGAGTAGGGACCCGTAATCGCCTCTGCGTAAGAGCACGGGGTCGGGATGTCTGGTGCATCCGGGTCTCCCTCAGGGGCAAGCAGAATGGAAGTGAAACGAGGTACAACAGCTGCAAGACACTCAAAATCCTCCTGCCTGTCCTCAAGGACGTCCGTGCCAAGAGCACACTCACCCCCGACGGACGGAGGACACGCAGACTCAGACTCAGCAACAAGAGCAGTGGCGTAGTCGAGACGACAGGCAGCAGCAAAGTCAACCAGCTCAGCAACGAGAGCAGACGCAGAAGCAGACTCAAAGGAAGGGCCAGTGACAACAGTGGCGAGGAGTTGAGAGACAGTGAGACTGGCAGCACGAGCGCGGTCAGACTCAGGGTCAGGGACAGCAGGAAGAGAGGACTCAGGAGGAGGCGGCAGAGGAACACGTAGTGGAACAGAGGAAGGACAAAGTGCCATAGCGTATGTGCCGGGGACAGGAGGGGGACGCGGACGAGGAGCG